CTTATTGGTGGGACCCACCTATGATGGTGGAACGCACCAATGAGAGCTATTGGATGCTCCAGGTGACCCCGGCCGTGTGATTGGTAGATTTGCCTTTGGACCACAGCGCTAATGAAATACCTTCTCATAGTGTATGTAGATAGTTGGATTTAGATGGTTTCAGGTGGGCTGGCAGTGGGTGTGATGGCTGGGGCGGGCAACTACTGCCAGCGTTATTGGTGGGAGAGCTGAGTGGCGAAACGCCTTCTTACAGCCTTTCCACCAGTAACGAAGGCAGTAAACGCCCGCCAACAGCCATCAACACGGCTTGATGTCGGAATGGGAAAATAATTTTGGGAGTATTCACTAGGAGCTCCCAAAATTATTTTCCCATTCCGACATCAAGCCCACTGCCCTTAGGTGGAGTAAGATTGGTATTTAAAATTCTGGGTCTTTGAGTATTGCAAAAATTTCCAGGAAACCGTCATCCCTTCTGCGGCGTTTGAGCGGCAAAAGAGCGGCAAATGACATCGTGCCAGGTAGCTCAAGCCAGAAGCAGACATTCATGCCAAGGTAGGCTCGTTTTTTATCGATTAGGTGGATAGTGGATACATAATATGCAATGATGCGGGACCGTCTCGAGAGGGGCAAAATTAGCCCTGACGGCCAGTTGGTGGTGGGATCACTAAAAAATCGTTTACTCAGGTATCATGGTTGTTACAGTAACCAGAGCCAGTTATATCATTGAGTTCCCCTGTGCCGGAACATCCTTACTGCGCTTTAGATCTGTGTCCAGTCAAGATGGAGCAATTCTCGGCGGTCCGCCGACCACCACCTGCCCTCCATCTTCTTCAACATCCAGTGGAAGCGGCGCAATGGCTGGTGTCACTGGCCAGAAGTCCGTCTGCCATAAGCGCCTGTCAGATGTGGGATTGAGAGAGGAAAATCAGTGAGTTCTATTTTTTTGAATATTTTGATAAATGAGGATGACTCTGGTTGTTCCTCATTTCTGATCAAATCTCATAGCGCAATGTATGCTGTTTAGGTCTCCTCTAGTGTCGTCGCGACCTTCATCTCTCAGAGGCCTTAAACAGCCCCCACCATTAACGACATTCGGTCCTGGAACGTCTAGTACTAGTGTGAACGTTGTCAAATTGCCAACATCGCCGATACCAGTGAGCCCGCTAGCCAGATCAGAGCACTCAGATGCTGGACGCGATTGTGACGCGAAGGTGAGGGACTTGCATCGTATTTGAAAAAAAAGATGTTTTGAAGAAAGAAAGGGTCACATCTTGTTTGTTCGGAAAGGTCCGCCTGGCTGCAACGGCTTCCTGGACTTATTTGTGCTTTATTTCCTCACAAGAAGAAATTCAGTAACGTCGAAGCCAGTAGGCAGATAGCTGGGGGTGGGCGGTCTTTGTCAACGTCATTGGTGGAAGTACTGAGTGGGGTGTGGCCAGGCGCCCTCTTCGCAGCCCTTGAACCAATGACGTTGGCAATAATCACTCGCCCATAGCCGTCCTGCCACTGCTCTAAAGGTAGCTCATGTACATTAGTTTAGACAAGTTTAAAAATAGCCTGGCACGCAGACGGAAGTTAACAAAACATTATCCCCCCCCCTAGTCGACTTGCGGCCAACCTATTCCATTCCTTTCAATCCCATAATTTTACTCCCCGTGAATTTTTTTGGTGCTTTTTTTGACGCTTTGATTCTCAGGTCTCCAAGCCCTTCGTCTGGAAACAAGTTCATCGCCAGTGGTCGATCGTTTCTGCGTATGCTTCATCGCGATGAGAAGCACTGAGAATTTTGGTCGTCTGGTTTGCTTGATGGATCGCCCCACTACGATGGTCGGCCCTCAGCCCAAAGGCGTTCCTCCCCCTTCTATTTCATGTATTTAGGTTCATGTTCATATAACTGTCTATCCTTTTTTGGCATACTGTAAGTCGGGTAGTCTGATCACTGTTTGGCACAATAGAACGCGTATCATATTCTATTTTTATTTCATAATACTCTTCTCCTTCAGGCGCGTATTCTCATACTCTGCTATATTACAAGTAAAATTTAGTTCCAAAGCGTTTATTTGCGTTTTTTTCGCGCTGATTTCCTTACTGTTAAGCATGTAGTGCTGCGACTAATCGATTTATCGATTGGGAAAAATATCCGCGATGTCTGCATGTTTCTTTGTCTCTCTTTCTATGCTGTGAATATTGTACATAATCAGGTAATTTATGCGTTTTGTGCTGCGTATTTGTTGAAATTGCGAATTTTGTTGCTTTGTACCCACCTAAACCCGTCTCCGTGACAACTGAGGCAGGAATTGCGCGCTAAATTTATTCGGCTGGTACCACAGGGTCGTCCCTAGCCGCTTAGCGCGGTGTATCTCCGTGTCGTAGGTAGGGTTACTACTGGGGTCGAAACGATGTTTTGAAATGAGCTGAAAGGCCCTTAGAAGAACCCGTGTGGTTAGTACCAGAAGGTCCTCTCTGCCCGCCTTCAAAAGGACTCGCCTCAGCACCGCGTTGATCGTCTGCTCTTGTGTTGTTGTAAGAGCATTAGCATCACCGCCGTACAGTAACGATTATCGTT